GAGTAACAGATTGGGAAGTGGAGGACGGAGAAATGGATGAAAACACACCTGGAGTTCCAGTCATATGATCGGAAGCTCCAGAATCTATAATCCAACGGGAAGGTGTGGATGCCAGACAAGTCGTGAAACACTCAAACACTCACCATCTCCTTTCTTGAAGTATCTGTAGATGTAGTGGGGATTTGATCAGTAACTTGAGATCCTTGTCTTGAGATACCACCATTTACTGCTGCATGATTTGCCCAGGTTGAAGGTGGGCCATGTAGATCATAGCAAAAGTTTATAGTATTCCCTCCATACCACAATGAGTACATCTTCTCTGAGTATTACCACGTCCCCTACCACGAGCTCCCCCTGAGTCTCGTCCTCCAACACGACCACCACCACAATTATACATGCCACCACCACCACGACCATACATGGGTCCACCACCACTACCACAACCATGCTGGCCTCCTCTACCACCACGACCTCCCCCTCTCGTAATTGCAAATGCAGACCTATCTGACATAGTGGAAGTCTCTGTGGGTCCAATTGAAATCCTCCGAAGACGAGCAAACACTTCCTCAAGAGAGGGAAGAGCAGATCCACCCAGTATTTTTGCCCTTACGGGTTCATACTTGGACTTCAATCCTACTAAAAATTTGGTCACATCCAATTGCTCTCTTTGTTGTTGCTGAATTTTGACATCAGGTGTAAGAGGATGATAAATCGTAAATTTCTCATACTGGCATGATAGTCCTCAAGACTCTGATTCCCTTGTTGCAGATTGAAGTACTCTTGGTACAGTTGGTAAACCCTAGTAGTGTTATCTTGTCCAGAATATAGTTTCCTTGCATGATCCCAGACTTCCTTGGCTGTATCTAAAAACATGAAGTTCACACTAATTTTGGACTCCATGATGTTCCATAGCCAAGTCATAATTTTAGCATCCTCCTGCTCCCATTCATCATATAGTAGGCCTTGCACTTTGCTTTGATACCAAGATGGTTGGTATTGACCACCTTCGGCCTGTGCTCTGGTTCAGTTTCTGCAAGAAAATAACAGAAGAAAAGAAGAGAGGAAGAGAAGAAGAGAAGAGAAGAGAAAAAGAATGAAAAAGAAGGGAGCAATTCTCTTAGATTCTTCCGCCCAGATTTGTTATTTATAGGTTTCTATCATAAAAGAGACTACAAAGACATCTATACCCCTGCTGCCCAAAACACTACTTAACAGAATAAAATAGTAACTAAAGCAGGCACAGAAAAAAAGTAATAACAGGCCCATAACAAGGCCCAAACAGAACTAAAAATAAGTAAATAAAGAAATAACCAATATGACAGGGTAGCAACAAGTAAATTACTATACTGTTTCTCTACAATAGCCAAGAGAGAACTGTGGTATTTGATTATCATGAGAGGTGTTTGTTAGATCAACTAAAGGAACCATTATCGACTTAAGTTTCTCAATAGAAGTTTGGTTGGACAATTTGTTAATTCCAAACTAGATGTAGAAGATGCATGCACTTGGGCAATGGCTGAATGGAAGCCGAGCAATTCCCTTCAAGGTGAGGAGACTCAATGCGGGTTTTTTTTTTTTTCTTTTAGTTTTGAAGTTGAAGCTCTTGATATTCTCAATCGTGAACAAGATCAGTTACGCTATACAGAATTAAGGTTGGGGAGATGGAATCCTCTTGTTGGGGCTTTGGGAAACATGGGGCCTTCAAGTTTCATTTGGATAAATGTTTTTGGTATTCCTCTACACGCCTGGAGCTTTCAAACGTTCAAGGCGGTTGGAAATGCTTGTGGTAGTTTTAGGTTTGTTGATTCAAGAACCAGTGCATGGAAGAATCTTATTACTGCACGTATTCTTATTGAGGTGGAGGAAATCCATCTTGTTCTAGCTTCATTGTTGCTACATTTCGGTGGAGAATTGTATGATTTAGGAGTGGTGGTGGGTCTTACCCTGGTGGCTGGATAGACAATATGGATTCGTGGATGGAGTGGATGCTTCTTCTTTAACTGGTTTGAAGTTGTGGGAGTCGAATGGACTCCTAGTAGGGGATGTGCCAGAGGTTGAAGGAGAGGGCATTTCTGGTATAAAATTAGCTAATGATGATAGTGGGGTTGTTGGGATGGGGCTGATTGATTTTCAAGATATTGGGAAGGAGGAGAGGGGTGACTTGGGGGAAGATCGAAAGAGGACATGATAAGTGGGGTCCACTCGGAGTCAGCTAGAGAAATGATTAAGGGTGGCCTGCGTGTCTCGGTAGTTATTGTTGCTGGAGGAGGGCCAGAGATTGAAGGACACGTGGCGGATCAAAAGAAAAAGGGGTTGTGGCTTGATAAGGGGGATTGAAAGATATAAATGGTTTTATGAGGAGCGGGTTGATGGTTTAACTGGGGACCACTTTCGAAAGCCCAAATTATTGAATGTGAGAAGCTGCTTGGTGTGTTGGGTTTAAATTTTAATAGATGGAGTTTAGTTTCTTTTAAATGTTCAAAGGTACTAAGTGGAGGAGACCGGGCAAAATCTCCTCAAATAAAGATTGAAGGGGAAAGAGGAGGAGGACTCAAGAGGGGTTGTTACGGCCGTAACAACATTTCCTCTTTCAGCCGTAACAACCCCATCATCACTCTCTGAAATGCCTCCTGAATCAGCCGTAACAACCCCTCTTGAGTCCTCCTCCTCTTTCAGCCCGATCTCCTCAAATAAATGTTGGCTTCGATGTGGCTTGTTGCACATTTCCCCAAGCTGAGAAAAACAATGCTGATCAATGGCTTTGTGAGGAAGTGTTGGTTGGAAGGTTTAAGGTTAGGTGTGGATTTGGGTAGGAGGGAAGAGGCTGAGAAACATTTGGGTGTAGTATAGCTTTCCTGCATACACTTCTCATAATAAGAATCATCCTCCTTGGGTTTGTCTTACCACCAGAAATATAACCCCATTTTCCTCTACTACAAACAAGTATCCTCATTGACTGTGACCAAGCTAAATAGTTAGTTCCATCAAGTTTTACTATTCTCACGGCCAATAGAGGATGTGCAAATGTTCCTGAACCCAGTCCGGGTTCTGTGTTTTGCTTAATCTCAACTTCAAAGTGTTCCATTAATGCAATACCTTAGGGAACAATGTTCAAAAGACAAATGGAGATAATTGAAAAAGAGCACACCCAAAACTGACCTGAACAAGATCCAAATCTAGGGTTGCGCATAGCCCTGCAACCTGGGAGAAATAGATAAATGGCAACCACTCCTTATAGGGACTACAAAACCCTGTTCAGATTGGGTCAATCTCAAAGATGGTCCAAAATCTTCCTTTCAAGCCCTAAGTGCCAGCTTGAAGTAATCTCCAGGACCCCTATTCTGTTTTCTCCAGTTGGCTAGGGCTTTTGAGACAAACTCCATGAACCAGTCTTGGGCTCCAATCTGAATGTGTATTGTCTCCAAAAATCCTCTACCAACTAGGCCACATGAATCAACAATCAATCACTAATTCAATTATCCATACACATTGTCTATGGGATTAAAGAAAAGGAAAAATTGTCCTACTATAATACCAAGAAGAAAACTAAACCAGCAATATGTATTCAGTTTAATCAAGAAAACGTATTAATAAGAGAATAGAGGAAGATCAGAGCAAGAAGAAGAAGAGAAGATGGAAGAAAAAGGAGAAGAAAAAGAGAGAATTGTAACTCTCTCCAGTCTCAATTCGATCTTTTTATTAGATCTTTGAAAAAATAATATGAAATTAAATAGATGTCCTTAATAGGCAGCTGCACTAAAGTAAGAACTAATAGGTCCATATGAGTGAGGCCCATTAACACAAAACATAGTAAAATAAAAAGAAATAAACTAAGGCCCATTTCGACCCTACATCTCTACAGTATTCATGAGTGAAATTGTGAATCATATCATAAATCATAAGATTTTGACAACTATCTTAATACTTTTCTAAAATATAATATTTTATGTCATAACTGCATATTTGTTCACATACATATTAGGGTTTTAGTTATACTAGTGGACAATTAAGTATAATTTCTAATCTAATCTTTACATAGGGAAGCCCAGTGCACGAGACTCCCGCCAATGTGGGGTCTGAGGAGGGACAGATGTACGCAGCCTTACCCTGCACATATAGAGAGGCTGTTTCCAAGATTTGAACGCTGGTCACCCAGGTCGCAATGGAGCAACCAAACAGTTGCGCCAAGGCCCACCCTCATGTAATCTTTACATGTTCTTAGAAATAAAATATCTAGAAAACAGTCAGGTTTATATCTGGATCTGATCCAGATAGATGTATTTGCAAGTTAAAGGGTTGGATTTGGTTTTGGTTATTATTAAAGTGGACTGAATATGGATCCTTCTTGCTGGGTCCAGCCAGATCTGAGTCTGGATTTGCTAAGGCCTAATGATTTTCATCTGAACTTGGATTTATCTGCATCCACTACAGATCCGACCCATTACATACCCTAGTTTATAGCTAACCTTCCAATTCTTCTTTTCTGCTTTGGCTGGACCCTTGGACCGGGGAGAGCTCCCTCAAAGAGATGTTTCCAACTCTGTTTAATCTGGCAGTTGACAAAGAGGTGTTGGTAGCTGATTCTTATGTGCAGAGGGGAGACAACATTTGCTGGACCCCCTCTTTTAGAAGGGACTTTAATGATTGGGAGATTCAGCAAGTAGGAAATCTCCTAGCTCTGCTCCAAGAGCAGACTCTGAATCTGCAAAGTCAGGATTCAAGAGTGTGGAAGTGGAACAAATCAGGAGAGTTCTCAGTTAAATCCTTCTACAGTTTGTTAGTCAAAGGAAATCAAGTTCCTTTTCCTAGCCGGGCCATTTGGGGAGCAGTGGCACCCTCTAAAATCAAATTTTTTGTTTGGGTGGCAGCTTTAGAGAAATGCCTCACAAAACAGATTCTGCTGAAGAAAGGTTTTATGTGCAATGACTTGAGATGCAACCTGTGCAGTGTGGAGATGGAATCAGTTAATCATTTGTTTCTACATTTTAAGTTTGTAACAGTGATTTGGAACTATTTTCTAAAGAACTTAAAGGTAAGCTGGAGTATGCCAGCCTCAGTTAGAACATGCTTGGAGGCTTGGAACATATCTGGAATGACATAGAAGGGGAAATTATGCTGGTCTTCGATTCCTTTGGCTATTTTGTGGGCAATTTGGGCTGTAAGGAACAGCAGGACTTTTGATCAGAAAGCCTCCTCAGAAGCTGAGATCATTAACAGGGCTATAGAGCTTCTTAGGAGCTGGTTGTCTATACACACAGGTTTTAAAGAGGATACATCTGATTGTACTTTTTTGAGGGTGAGGTCCTTTTGTTGCAGTTTTTGTACAGTTTCTCGTTGTACTTTACTTCTTCTCAAAAAAAAAAAAAAAAAACTTCTTTTCTGCTTTGAAAAAATTCACTTTCTGGCTCTTAATGTTTCCACGTGTGATTATTCTATGATTGGTGAGCATTCCCTTTTTCTTGTTCCTCAGGTACCCACATTCCCTGGTTTCTCTGCTTCTCCTAATGGTGCAATTCAGATGTATCCAATCATGTACCCTGCACTTGTTCCTGGCTTAATCCTTGTGCAGAATCAGGAACGCACTAACCATGGTGCTGGCATATATGCTGTTCCTGTTCTCCCATCCGTGGGGCCAATGTCTGGACTACCTTCCAACACTCTTATTCCCCTTACGTACAATCTACCAACGTAAGTATTTTGTTGGAACCTCTAATAAAAAGTAGAAAGTTGATATCTATAAATGGATTATATCCACTAGTTAATAAATAATTAAAAATATAGTTGTCTGTGATTTAAATGATTTAATGAGTTCCACTCCCTTTGGCTTCTGGAGAGAACATCCCGTTCAGGATGGACTCCTCTGTCAACTCATTGGTAGATGTCTTTTCACAGGAGCTGATGAGGGCTATGTTACATTTGGGTGCTGATGTCCTTGGACATGTTTTGCTTTTTTTTTTTTTTTATCCCTAGCTTTTCTGCATTTCTTAGCTATAGCATTGCATATCCCCCATCTGTGGTCACAAGGTTGTGGCTTTCTGGTTTTTATTGGGGGTTGTTTCATACTAGATGCTGTGGTTATGCTTATGATCCATATCTTATCATTGATGAATTCTGTGTTTCTATTAGGAAAAAGAAGAAAGAAAAGAATCATTTAGCTGTGTTTCCTTTCTCTATCAGTAATAAGTTAACATGCACAAGACTTCCGCCATTGTGGGGTCTGGGGAGGGATAGATGCACACAGCCTTATCCCTACACATACAGAGAGACTGGTTCCAATATATTTTTCCTATCTATTTCCAGTAAATTATTCAGGATTTAGTTGAAATGGTATCTGTTAATCAATGATCAAAAAAACAAAATGGTATCTGTTAATCCATACTGTGGTACTATGTCTAAATGATGCTATATTGTGTATTATATCCATGAGTTATGCAATGATACTCCTTTGGTTTACCAGAGGTATGCATTGAATTTATCAAACTTTATTTGATTATAAAGAATCTGTGAATTTCCTTCATCTTGCATGTGTGCCAATAGAAGGACAGCTACACCTGAGGGTGGAGCTGTAAACGAGGAGCAAGGACAAGAGGGACTGCAACAACATGCCCCACAAAGACAGGTTGAGAGGAGATTTCAGTTTGCTTTTCAGATTGACTTGTTGCTCATACTGAAGCTGGCAGCTGTGATTTTCGTGTTCAACCAAGATGGATCAAGACAAAGACTCATTCTTCTTGTCTTTTTTGCTTTGCTGGTGTATCTGTAAGCGGCTGAGTATATAATCTTTTCCTTTTCATCTCTTGAAACATATATCCATCCGATTGCTGTATTGGCCTCCAATTATCTGCATATACTTTGTCAGCAACCCCCCCCCTTGCACTTTCTTTTAGGGTGGGTTGTTTTCTTAGTAATCAAATTGGATCTTAATATATCTGATTCCAAATAAATTACATATTTAAGACATCTGGTTTTAATCTCCTTGTATTTGGACTAGACATGTGTATCATAGTACTGTCTTAGGTGGGGATTTTCTCCCACAATGCTGGTGAGTCTAGATCATTTGTCTGATAGAGGACCCGCCAGATTGGTCATATAGATGTTCTTTTGAACACTACATAACTTGTTCTTGATCCATTGCCTAATAAAAAATAATCATTTTTTTCCTAAAAAGATCATTAATATTTTTTATATTGTTTGTTTTGAAGATACCAGACTGGGGCCCTTATGCCACTTATGCGGAGGCCAGTAGCACCTCCACAACCACGACCTGTTAGAGATGAGAATGGCCCTGCTCCTGTTAGAGAACAGGATGAGAATGTTGCTTTGGCAGGTACTTGTTCTTTTGTTGCTATGTCTACATGCTTCTGTGCATACCTAGATAATCATGGATTTCCATACATTAATACATTACTTGAATAAAAGAAACAGAAAAGAATGTATTTTCTGATGTAATTTAGAGAGAAGAAGAGAGATTAACCTAGAATCGAAGAAAAGAATAAAAGAGAGAGAAAGGGTGTGGTTAGTTAATTCTGGATGCCCCACTAATTCTTATTTATACTTATGTCTTTACAAAGAAATAGAATTACTCTAATACCCCCACTAACTTCATACAAAAACAAAAGAAAAATAAATATGGCCCAACTGGCCCAACTACCATAACTGTAACATAAAGAAACAAACAGAAAAATAAAGTGTGGGATTGGGACCACAACACTAATAATCTACCAACTATCTCTACACTCACTCAAGTTGGGAGTAGATATTCATCATTCCCAACTTGCGTAAATCTGTCTCCAACTTGACTTTTGTGACTGCTTTAGTGAAGAGATAAGCTAACCACATATCTAAGGCAATATAGGGAAGACACACTTCTTGAGATGCAACTTGCTCTCGGATAAAATGTCTGTCCACCTCGATATGTTTAGTCCTGTCATGCTGTATTGAATTGTGGGCAATGTTAATTGCAACTTGATTATCACAATACAACATCAGAGGTTTCTCGTAGTCAACCCCTAGCTCATCAAGTAAAGATCTCAACCATAACACTTCTGCAACACCATTGGCCATGGACTTGTATTTAGCTTCAGCATTGGAGCGAACAACATTTTGTTTCTTGCTTCTCCAAGAAACAAGGTTTCCCCCTACAAGTGCATAATATCCAGAGGTAAATCTCCTGTCATCAATACATCCAGTCAGTCAGCATCTATATGTACCTCTATCTTCATGTGACCACTATTCATGAAGAGTATGCCTCTCTCTGGGCGTCTCTTCAAGTAAGAAAGTATCCTTTCCACCGCAAGAAGGTGGGTGGTCCTAAAACAGCATATGAAATATATAGTCGTGTTAGGCAAAGATGAAGAAGTTTCCCAACCAACCTTTGATACATAGCCCTGTCCTCAAGAGGTTCTCCACCTTTTGCACTTATTTTATGGTTCAACTCAATGGGTGTGTCAGCAGGCTTTACTCCTAACTTTCTAGTTTCTTCCAATAAGTCAAGAGCATACTTTCTTTGAGAGATAAAAATGCCTTGCTTAGATCAAGCTACCTCAATTCCTAGGAAATAACACAATTCCCCCAAGTCCTTCACTTCAAATTCCTTGTGAAGATGTTGCTTAAGAGAGTCAATCTCACTAATATCACTTCCTGTCACTACAATGTCATCCACATAGACAGCAAGTAAGGTCAAGGTGGAGTCTGTCTTCTTAAAGAAGAGAGTGTGATCTGATTGAGCCTGCATATAACCAAACCTTTCCAAGGCCAATCTAAACCTATCAAACCAGGTTCTTGGAGATTGCTTCAACCCATATAAAGCCTTCTTCAGCCAGCATACCTTCTTTCCTGCTTCTGTACTATAAAAACCAGGGGATAATTCCATGTAGACCTCCTCTTGCAAGTCTCCATTGAAAAATGCATTCTTGACATCCATCTGAAACAGTGGCCATGAGAAATTTGCAGCAATAGATAGTAGGACTCTTATAGTGTTGGCAACTAGTGCAAAGGTTTCCATATAGTCTATGCCATAAGTTTGTGTGAATCCCTTTGCAACCAATCTGGCCTTATATCTCTCTACAGAACCATCAACATTATATTTCACTGTAAACACCCATCTGCACCCAACAGGTTTCTTCCTCTCAAATTGGTCAACTAGTTCCCATGTATTGTTCTTAACAAGAGCATCCATCTCTACTTTCATTGCTTCCTTCCACTCAGGTATCAATAGAGCTTCTTGCACTATTCTAGAAATAGGAATAGCAGCAATAGATGCCAGGAAAGATCTATAGGATTTTGAGAGACAATCATAAGAAAGAAACTGGGAGACACAATAAGCAATGGATGAAGTACAACGATGCTTCCATTTACGAATTGCAATTGGGAGATCAAGGTCATCTAAAGGTGAAGGCTGAGGCTCAACAGTGCTAAGCAATGTATCTGCAAAAGTGGGCTCAATAGTGGGAGTAGTGCCTGGATCTAGAGTTGTAGAAGATGTTGGGATCGGCCTGGACTACTGAGGACGGGAATCAACCTGCCTCCACCATTGCCTGTGATACACTCTCAATTCCCTGCACTTCTGACAACCCTCTTCACGACACTCCCCCTCAGTGACTGGAATAGGTAATGGAACTTTTGGGGCTGAAATCCCTTCCTCACTACTCTCCCCCTGAGAAGAAACCCTATGATAGTAGGGCATATCCTCTCCTTGACTTGAAAGAAGAAAGGGGAGAATTTGGAGAGGCATAAAAGGAACAAAGAAGGGGTTTGAGAAGACAGCTAGAGGATTGCCTACATGAGGAGGAAATAAGTTGGAGGCAAAAATCTCGATGCAAATGGCTGCAAGAGGGATATAGAAATACCAAGTTTTTTCATTGTGGAAAATGGAAGGAGGAACTTCATATCCAGACTGGAAGTGGATGGTTGCTCTGACACAACAGGATGAGATAGCAGGGGCCCTTGTAGAACACTTTAAGTCCATCTTAAGAAGGCCTTTAAGTAGGGGGGTGTGGTTAAAAGGACTGGATTGGCCAGATGTAGGGGTAGACAATAAGCAAAGGTTGGAAAGAAGGTTTGAGTTGGAAGAGATTAAGGAGGCTGTGTTTTCTATGGACAGAACAAAAGCTCTAGGCCTAGATGGTTTTATGATGGCTTTTACCAAGACTATTGGGATATTTTTGAAGGTGACCTTTTGTTAGTGTTTGAAGAATTTCACAAGAGAGGAATTGTTAACCCTGGAATGAATTCCACCTTCTTAGCTTTGGTCCCAAAAAAGAAAGATGCATCCCATCCAAAGGATTTTAGGCCAATTTGGTTAATAGCTTGTATAAGATATTAGCAAAGGTGTTGTCTTTGAGATTGAAGGAAGTACTACCAGTAATCATTGCACCAAATCAAGGAGCTTTTGTGAGTGGAAGACAAATTACTAATCAGATTCTAATTGCCAATGAGTGGAGAACTTCAGGAAGGATAGAAAGAAGGGAGTGGTATGTAAGATGGACTTGGAAAAGGCTTATGACTTGGTGGGTTGGTCTTTTTTGAAGAAAGTTATGACCAAATTTGGGTTTGGGAAGGATGGTGCAAATGGATTATGGGGTGTATTTGGAATTGTCATTATTCTGTGCCAGTGAATGGGACAGTGGTAGACTCTTTCCAGCCATTAGGGGCATAAGACAAGGGGACCCTCTCTCTCCCTTCTTGTTCACACAGGTTGTTGATGTTCTAGAGAGATTGATCCATAGAGCAGATTCTAGGGCCCTCTTAAGAGGTTGGAGAGTTGGAAAGGAGGAAACCCCCCTTACCCACTTACAGTTTGCAGATGACACGATTTTGTTCTGTGAAGGAGGAAATCTGAGGTGCATCAGGAACATGAAATTGGTGATACAATTCTTTGAACAAATGTCCAACCTAAAGGAGAATTTTGAGAAAAGTTGTGTAGTGGGTGTGAATATGGAGGGAGAGATCAACGAGAGTGCAGAATTGTTGGGATGTGAAGTGTCAGGATGGACATTGAATTAATTAGGGTTGCCATTGGGTGATAACCCAAAGAAAGAGAGTTTCTAGAATCTGGTGGTGGAAATATTTGAAAAGAGACTTGTCTCTTGGAAAAAGAATTACCTTTCCCTTGGAGGGAGGATCACACTGATTAGGGATACTCTAGCCAACTTACCCATTTATTTCCTATTAGTGTCCAAAATCCCAGCGAAGGTATCTAACAGATTGGAGAAGATGATGAGAGACTTTCTTTAGGAGCCAGGAGAGGAGAAGAGGGACCATAGGGTGAGTTGGGAGGTGGTGACTAGGAGCAAAAACGTAGGTGGACTAGGGCTTGGGAATATTAGGAAAAGGAATTTGACCCTTCTGGGGAAATGCTTATGGAGGTTCCCACTAGAGAAGGAGAAATTATGGGCTAATGTAGTGGTAAGCATCCATAGGCTGGAGCAAAATGGATGGGATGCTGGAATTCGAGCTAGGACTACAAGTTGGACTCTAAAATTTGGATCCCCACCCCTACTGGCTCATTCTCTTGTGCCTCTTTATTCAAAGTCTTAAGCTAGTCCACCAGTCCTGTAACCCTCCCTTTCCCTGTTAAAGAGGTTTGGTGCAAACCAATTCCTCCTAGGGTTGGTAGTTTTTTGCTAGGAAGCTTTTCTGGAAAGAATCAACACTGGTGATCTGCTCCAAAAGAAGAGACCCAAGACATGTTTATCCCTTCACAGGTGTGTTCTTTGTAAAGCTGAGTGGGAGACTGGCTTTCACCTATTGGTGTCATGCCAGTTTGCAAAGTCTATTTGGGAGTGGGCTTTCTCCCTCTTTGGGTGTATTTGGAACCCTCCATCAAACTTGGAAAGTCTTTTCTCCCCTTCTTTCTTCAAGTGGCGTATGAAAAGAGGTAGGAATGAGTGCGTCTTGGACTTTATGGGAAGAAAGAAACTCCAGGATCTTCTCTGAAGTAGAGAGAGGTGCTGAAGAACTGAGAGAAATGATCCATATAAGGGTTGTACAGTGGCTGAAATCCTCAAAGTTGTTCACAAATTACGCAGTGGATGACATGTTGAGGAAGTGGGGTGAGATTGCTAGTTGCACCCAGATCAAAACAAGAATGAGTGTGTCTTGGACCCCTCCACCAACTGATTTCTTAAAACTAAACTTTGATGGGAGTAGTAGAGGGAATCCTGTACACTTGGGGATTGCGGGCATGTTTAGGGATGAGAATGGGATTTTTTTAGCCCTGTTCTCAGGCCCAATTGGAGTGGGTGACTCTCTCAGAACCAAGATCTATGCAGTTATGAAAGGAGTCCAGAGAACTAAGGAGATGAATATAAGAAAACTTATAATTGA